ATGTGTTACAAAGCATTTCCTGTCTGTGGATGGGTCTCAGTCCGGACCGGTCCTCCAGGAGCTTTAATGTCCAATGCTGGGAACACACAAATGGTTTTCGGGAAAGGTGAACCATCTTCATATAGTTTCCAATTCCAAAACTGGATGGAGGCGACCAACCACCAGCACATGTGACTTCTCCATGCATGCAGGGGGGGTGGGGGCTTCTGTGATCCATTCAGTCATTTCTGTAGTTCGTAGAAATCATTTGAATTGGCCTTCGATCCTCCGTGTGTACGGCCGGCGCAGTTCTGGTTCTGAGCTGGAAATCTCTAATCACATTTTATTTTTTATCTACAGAAGAACGATTGGTTGTGTCTGAACTGCCAAACTCAACGGCTGTTAGAGGGAAGTTTAGGGGATGTTCCACCTTCACTCCTACCACCCTCCAAGCAAGGCTCGCCACGCCACCAGCCAGGAGTTACCCCGACAGGATCTCCCAAGCATCTTCCAGGAGCAATATCTACAGGTTCACCAAGGCACCAGCCAGCACCAAGCCAGACTGCATCCCCTCTCCACCAGAGAGCAGGACCCACCGCATCTCCCCAGCATCATGGAGGACCCACCGCATCTCCCCAGCATCAAAGAGGACCCACCGCATCTCCCCAGCATCAAGGAGGACCCACCGCATCTCTCCAGCATCAAGGAGGACCCAACGCATCTCCCCAGCATCAAGGAGGCCCCACTGCATCTCCCCAGCATCAAGGAGGACCCAACGCATCTCTACAGCATCAAGGAGGCCCCACTGCATCTCCCCAGCATCAAGGAGGCCCCACTGCATCTCCCCAGCATCAAAGAGGCCCCACCGCATCTCCCCAGCATCAAGGAGGCGTGACTGGCCAGCAGAAGCCGGTCACGGGACATCTTTCAGAATCAAAGGCGGACAAGCGAGTTCCTCAGCCCAGCCAACCGAAGAGCTCAGAACAAGTCAAAACCCAGCTGGGGACTGACGAGAGAAAAGCCCCGGAGGACACTTCGCAGCACTGGACCCATCCAGAGTTTCAAAAGGTGTCAAAGCAGACGGTGCCAAAGAGTAAAAGCGTCAGCGGCAAAAAAGACGCCATTTCCAGGAATGGGAAGTCATCATCTGAAATTCAGAAAGTCAAAGATCAAGAGGTGAGGATGAGTTCCTGTCACTTAAATCCTCTTTTATCATCTTGTAGCAAAATAAAAGGTAATAAAATATATTGCAGATTACAAGTCCTTAGATATGGTGGCCACAGGACTACAGAACACCTCCCCCTTTCTTCTTCTCCTCCATGATATGGGAAGAGGGGATCTGTAGTCCACAAAGAACTTATATGTGTATATATTACCTATGTGACTTATAGGAGTTCATTGGAGGCAGTTATCAGCTCAGAAGGTTTCTGTCAGATCCACCTATTGATCAGATATAGCAAAGATCTTTTTATACACGGCCTGGCCCCAAAAAAGTCCCACGCTGTTATATTTCATTGGACCACCTTAAAGGAGAACTATGAGGGGTTCACCTCTCGATCCTGTCACGGCTCTCTGCCATGACAGGGGAGGGGCTGGATTCCCCTCCTCCCCGCTCCGATCCTCCAGCACTGACTGGCGGAACGGACGGGGGAGGGGGCGGGCACAGCTGGCTCTGCCTCTATATAGGCGGAGCCAGCTGTCACTCACGCAGCTGGGCGGATCCAGACATCGATGACGGGGATCCGCTCCGGCTGCGGCGTCTCAGTATACTGCGAGCTGCAGCTCCCTATATACTGAGCCTAGGGTGACGGGAGGGCGCTAGTTTGTGTCCCCCTGTGACCCTAAGGAGAACTATGGGGAAAACACTGACCCCATAGTTCTCCTTTAAGCTTTCAGTATGGCAGGCCTTCACCGGTGGCATCGTCTCAGTAAGGTTACGCAATGTCGCAAGATTGATTTCCATCCAGAGTTACGTAAATTTTTCACCGAGATCTTATAGTGATGATGGGAGAGTCGGAGCACGGTGTAAAGTCTTCTCCAGCACATCCCAGAGATCCTCCATGGGGTTCAGGTCTGGACTCTAGTGGCCAATCCACGTGTGACAATGATGTCTCATGCTCCCCGAGCCCGACGAACCCCGACATTGTAACCTTGGAATATGCCCAATGTGCCATCAGGGAAGAATCAATCCATTGATGGAAGAACCTGGTCACTCCGTATATATCCAGGAGGCAGCTGACCTCATTTTTTGGGCACACAATGTTGCTGATCCAAGACCTGACCAACTGAAGTCACCCCGGATGATCAGACGTACCCAATGGACGGCTCGCACCCCTTTGCTTAGCTGAGTCCAGGTGGTGACACTTTTTTTTTTGGCCGGGCCGTGTATTTAAAGCTGAACTCCGGGAGAAGCAAACGTTGTCCTCATACAAGAGGCCGGTGTACTCTTCCTGGGATCTTGGTTAGGGGGGGGGGGTGTTCTGCAGTTCTGTTTTTTTATTATAATGTATTGCTGGGACTTGTAGTACTAATGCCCCGATACTGAACGCAGATACCGGTGTTTTATCGAGAACACCGACGTAGTTGAATTCACCGACCTCAGCATCTGCGCTTACACACAGACCGATATTATCGAGGGAACCGATTTATTCACAAAGTATTTTGTTTAAATTGTTAATTGTGACCGTTAATAATATTCCGTCATTCACTGCCACCCGTCATTCACTGCCACCCATCATTTACTTGCACCCATCATTCACTGCCCCCCATCATTTACTGCCACCCATCATTCACTGCCACCCATAATTTACTGCCACCCATCATTCACTGCCGCCCATTATTCACTGCCGCCCATCATTCACTGCCACCTATCATTCACTGCCACCCATCATTTACTGCCATCTGTCATTCACTGCCTCCCAGCATTCACTGCCACCCATCATTTATTGCCACCCATCATTCACTGCCACCTATCATTCACTGTCGCCCATCATTCACTGCCACCCATCATTCACTGCCACCCATCATTTACTGCCACCCATCATTCACTGCCACCCATCATTTACTGCCACCCATCATTCACTGCCGCCCATTATTCACTGCCGCACATCATTCACTGCCACCCATCATTCACTGCCACCCATCATTCACTGCCACCCATCATTTACTGCCACCCATCATTCACTGCCATCTGTCATTCACTGCCTCCCAGCATTCACTGCCACCCATAATTTACTGCCATGGACGGCATAATATTAACGGTCACAATTAACCATGACAAACGAATACTTTGTAAACAAATGGCGGTTTCCTCGTTAATCCCGTCTGTACGTAAGCGCAGATACTGGGTCAGCGTTCTCCACAGAACACCGGCACTAAATGTTTAAATTGAAGCGGCTGCCTGAGGTCCCGCGCTTGCTGGGGACCTCGGCAGCCGTCCTGTTAACCATGCGGTGCCATGGCGGCTGGGGGTTTCATAGTTTCTTGCACCGGGGGCCCCGAAGGTTCTAGCTACGCCTCTGCCAGGAAATGTCAGATGTATCAATACAATAGACGATTCCAATGTGCGGATCAATGTACTCGTAATATGGAAATTGATTGTGTGACTTCCGGGATAAAGCAGTTTCCTGTTTGTCTTCCACACAGGATATCAGTAAGCCTTATTCCCATGACTTGTCCCGCAGCCCTCAAAGTCTCAGTGACACCGGATACTCTTCTGATGGAATCTCCAGCTCTCAGAGTGAAATCGCAGGACTGCTAGAACAAGAGGAAGAGAAACTTAACACCACCGGCATCTCTCAGCGCAGCCCACCCAGCCCGTCCGAACTCACCAAGCTGGAGAGCTCTGTCCGGCCCCTGCTGGAATCAAAGAGCGACAACGGGAAGTTGTTCCATAGCTTACGGGAAGATCAAAAGCAGAGGCCCAAGTCGCTAACTATTACGCCTGAGGCCTTCGACTCAGATGAGGAGCTGGAAGACATCCTGGAAGAAGACGAAGACTCCCTGGAATGGGAAAACCAGCGAGGGCACCGAGAGTGCGTAGATTCATCGGATGATTTTGGCAGCAAGCTGCGTCATGATTACGTGGAAGACAGTAGTGAAGGTTTCTCCCCGTTACCAACAAGGCAACCTCAAGGAAACCTCACCGATGAAGAGTTTATGAGAAGGCAGCTCTTAGAAATGAGTGCAGAAGAAGACAATCTCGAGGATGAAGACGAAGAATATAACCATAGCAAGTACAGCGGTGGTAAGAACGGACACAAAGCAGAGTCAGAGAAATCCAAAGGTACCTCAAAGAGATCTATTGGGTACAATTCATCAAACTTATATGACGAGAATGGGAAAGGTATAGAGGTAGAAGATGAAGATATGACTGCATCTCAAGGAGGACTCCGACGCTTCAAGACTATTGAATTGAACAGCACCAACAACTACAACCGAGACATGGACCTCGAGCATGAGACGGACATCAGTTTAGACAGAGAACCCGAATTAGAGATGGAAAGTCTGACTGGATCCCCAGAAGAAAGGTCTAGGGGAGAGTACTCGTCCACATTACCGGCAACAACTCCAAGTTACACCAGTGGAACATCACCCACATCGTTATCATCCCTTGAAGAAGATAGTGACAGCAGCCCCAGTCGAAGGCAGAGGCTGGAGGAAGTGAAGCAGCAAAGGAAGGCTCGGCATCGCTCACATGGTCCTTTGCTGCCTACAATTGAGGACTCCTCAGAAGAAGAAGAACTGAGAGAGGAAGAAGAGCTCCTCAGAGAACAGGAAAAAATGAGAGAAGTAGAGCAACAAAGAATTCGAAGCACTGCGCGCAAGACCAAAAGAGACAAGGAAGAACTGCGAGCACAAAGAAGAAGAGAACGGTCAAAAACCCCCCCCAGCAACCTATCTCCCATCGAAGACGCCTCGCCCACTGAAGAAATGAGGCAAGCAGCAGAGATGGAAGAACTGCACAGGTCGTCTTGTTCAGAATATTCACCATCTATTGACTCTGAGGCAGAGGGATTCGAGATAATGGCTTCCAAGCTGTACAAGTCAGGGAGCGAATACAATTTACCTACCTTCATGTCTCTGTACTCACCAACGGAGAAGACCGGCTGCGGAAACAAGCCACTGAAGAGTGCCGAAGAGGTCTACGAGGAGATGATGAGAAAAGCGGAAATGTTTCAGAAACAGCAGCAACCGCAACAGAATGTGATGTATGGGAACAGCTATCAGCAGGTTGGCTATGTGGGCACGGAAAGCCAGAACAACTTTGAGTACCAGTATATTGATGACTACGGCTATGACGGTGACAGAATCGGTTCGACGCAAAATGACTACCACCTGGACATGGCAACCTCTGGCACAGTGTACGACGAGATTTTACAGACATCTCAGAATATCTCACGGATGCACCAGTCATCGATTGACTTCTCCATACAAGATAATAAGAAGACAGAGGCCAACACTGAAAAACAATTTCTCAATGCGGAGAATGCATATAATGAAATGATGAAGCAAGCGAGTGGTCCCCTTACTCCTGGAACAAGTCCCACCCAGCTGTCTGCACCGGTTTCCTTTTCGTCTTCCGAAAGCAGCTCGGGAAGGGTCATACCCGACGTGCGCGTTACACAGCACTTCTCTAAAGATGGACATGACCAGGCAAAGCTCCACAGTTCCTCTACTGTACCCACCTCAAAGACAACGATGTCATCGCACCAGTACGGCAAAGTGCCCGTGGCTGCCACTTCTACTGCAAGTACTGAGGTCTCATCCACTTCACCTTCTCACCGGAGCTACTCGCAAAGCAGAGGAACTCCTGACTACGGCTCCAATGAAGAACAATATAGAAACAGAATGGCTGCAGATGCTAACATATCATCAAGAGATAACGCACAGAATGTGGGGACGAATGTGTCACTGACATCAAAAGTTATTTCTTTTTTTAAGACTTCTAGCCCCCCACTTTCCCCGACCTCCCCCACACAAAGTCCAACCCGTTCATCTCCAAGAATAAGTATGTCAACGGGAAGCAAAGATACTGCAGAATTTTCATCTCAGACTCAAAGCGTGCACAGGACTGATATAAGCGGGCCCTCCTCCGGTGGCTCCTCCCCTATGGTAGCTCATGGCACACAGACACCCGAACGTACTAGGTCACCGCGTCTGTCTAGGCAGCAATCTTCCCAAGAATCTCCATTTATGGTTATTACACTAGCGTCAGATTCATCTAGCCAAACTAGGCCCAAGAGTGTTAGTTCCTCTACCTCACCAGTCACATCCCCTACCAGACTGAACCGTCAGCAAACCATTCACAGCTACAGCCAGACATCAGCTAGTAGTTCCCAATCCCAGCAAGAACAAATGCAGCCCAGCTACAGTAAGGCACACACAGTTGTAGAAAGAGCTCCTCCCGCTTTGGCCATGCATACAGTTGCTAAAGGACAGCCATCAGCAATGGTAGATAGTTCATCCAACACTTATAACTGGGGTCCTTTGCCACCCGAGAATATCTCCTTATGCAGGATATCTTCTGTACCCGGAACATCAAGGGTTGAGCCTGGGCCAAAGCCTAGTAGCAGTGCTGTTGATTTACGAACTGCAATGAAGTCCGCACCAGTCATCATGACCGACCAGGGCATGGATCTTACATCTTTGGCTTCAGAAACAAGACGATACTCTCTAACCATGGACCAATCTCCGACACGGCAGACCACAGCTGTGCAGCCGTTAACCGTCAACCTGAACGCCCAAGAACAACCACACGCCGTTATCGGCACGGCCACAACTGTCAGCATAACTGTGGCAACCTCCATGATTGTATCGCAGCCAAAGCAGCCTGTAGTATATGGGGATCCTTTCCAGAATAGGGTGGACTTTGGTCAGGGCACTGGAAGTGCAGTGTGCTTGACACAAGTCAGGCACCCGGAACAAACGGCACAGCCTGGCATGAGGGCCGGAGTGAATAGTGCTGGCACTGCAGCACCTGTCGGAAAGCCAGAAGAGATGAATAATATGCAGAAGGATATATTTGCCAGATATAATCTTCCAAGTCAGGTAACATCAGTGGTTAAACGAGATATCGTTTCGCAGACCGGTAATGTTCAGAACATTGCTAATATCAGTGCCATGCCCAGGCAATACCACCAGGAGCAGACCATGGGTTATCCTGAAGTGTATAAGGGTGCTCCAGAGCCTAAAGTACAACATCCACCAGTGAACGTCGCTGGAGCCCAACCTCACACCATGATGGTACAGCTGGATGAGATGGCATCTAACACAGTTACAAAACTTGTGAAAGGAGAACAGCCGTCAAATGCTTTGGACCTTACAAACGTAAAACCCGAAAGCCAGGTGGTGTGCTGTGATGTGGTCTACAAGTTTCCCTTTGGTGGAAGTTGTGCTGGTGCATATAATCCTAAAGTAGCAGAACAAAGTGCAGAACCAGCTCAAGCAGTCGTCAGGCCCGGGGCTCAGTTCTATGGGCAGACAGAACAAGAGCTTCTGGATAACTATCACTACAGAGAGTCCAAACCAATGCCACCGGCGCAGCCAGCACCCGCTGCGTCCACTCAGAATATATACGGAGAGCAAAAATGTTACCCTTACGGCCCTACGGGAAGGCTACATTCCTCTATGTCAGAGACCAATCTCTCAGAAATCGGCTTATATAATCCCTACCAAGCCGGCGGCGGAGAGAGTGCAATGGACCTATCTACCATGAAAAGCTCCTACAACATGAACTTCTCCGATGGCAACTACCAGGGAATGCAGTATGGGTCCTTTACAGACTTACGCCAGCCCACAGATTTATTTAATAACTCGTTACCTATGAGACGGTACAGTTCAATGTCTAATATATATTCCGACTACAGGTATGCCTCTAGAGACCTGTCTAATTTTCAAGAGGCTAGCCTTGCTCAGTATAGTGCCACAACCGCTAGAGAGATCAGCAGGATGTGTGCAGCCTTAAATTCTATGGATCATTATGGGGGTCGGCATGTAAACAGTGCAGATATTCTGCAGTATGGCCCCAGCACATTAGGCACAGGGCCTGCGGGAAACATGGCGCATAGTCAGCAAGGAATTGCAGCTCTTAGGCAGAACATGATGTACAGTCCCCATTTCCAAGATACACGCCAAGGCTTTGGAGGTTTAGGACAGTTTAATGTTGCCCGGTCTGCAGCCATTAGACAGATGTACCCATCTCCCGGCACTGTCAGAGCTGCCGATGGCATGATTTACTCAACAATAAATACACCCATTGCTTCCACCCTTCCAATCACCACCCAGCCTGCGCCCGTACTACGGCCAATGATGAGAGGTTTGTACAGACCATATGGTCCAGGGAACATCACAGCCGTGCCGCTGGCGAGCCTGACTAGAGTGCCGCTTGTGGCTCCAAGGATGGCACTAGGAGCGCAATCGGTGTATCGTCACCCCGGCGTAAGTAGATTTCCACCTGCTTCTGCAGCACCAGCGACCGACACTCCTGTTTATTTGGGAAAATCCGCCAGCACTTTTGCAACAACGACTACCACATGTACATTTACTACAAGTACAGTGTCATCTCTCCCCGCTTCAAACACACCTACAACCACCGTCGCGGCCTCGACTGCACGCGCAGAACCTGCAACGGCTGCAACCTCCGAGGAGCATCTTGCCGGCTCCTCTGCAATGCAGGCGATTCCTAAGGATGCTGGTCAGCAGCCTGGCAGCCAGAAGCCAACCCCAGAAAGCCAGCCAAGCAGGGCGGCTAGTAAAGTCCCAAACGAAAAAGACGAGAAAGAGAAAGAAGAGGAGCGACAGAGGAAACAGCAAGAACATCTGCTTCAGATCGAGAGGGAAAGAGTGGAATTAGAGGCCCTGAGACAAATGCGTTTACACGAAGAGCTGGAACGGGAGCGCTTAGAACTGCAACGGCACAGAGAAAAGGAGCAGATGCTTGTCCAGAGGGAGCTGCAGGAGCTGCAGTCCATCAAGCATCATGTTTTGCAGCAGCAGCAGGAAGATCGGCAAGCGCAGTTCGTTATGCAGCGAGAGCAGCTGGCCCAGCAAAGGTTGCAGCTTGATCAGATTCAGCAGCTACAGCAGCAACTTCAGCAACAACTGGAGGAACAGAAAAAACAAAAGGCTGCTCCTCCCCCAGCCACTGAGCAGCCGGCAAGGCCGCCAGCCCAGACAGCAGCTGAGATTGCAATCGAAATGCAAAGAACCCTAGCACAAAGTGGGCAGTATTGGCCACCGATAAACCCTCCTTTTATTGCAGTTGCACCGACTGCGCCCGATGTGCAGGGGCAACCACGATACCCTGGACCTCAGAGGCCACTGACTAACTCTGCTTCAGAGATGTCTCTTCAAACGGAGGAGCAGTGGGAAGTGAACAGAACCATTAAGAAGAGGAACTCCATGCCTAGACTAAGGGATGCTTATAACGCTGATGACGGTCACGAGCCGTACATTGTAAAGAAGATAACAGACAGCAGCGTCCAGACCGATGACGAGGACGGAGAAGAGAGATTTTACATGTCGCGACGTCGAAGAACGAAAAGGAGCACCGACTGCAGCGTTCAAACAGATGACGAAGACAACGCAGACTGGGAGCAGCCGGTCCGAAGACGCAGGTCCAGATTCTCACGCCATTCTGACTCCAGCTCAGACAGCAAGCATGATTCCAAAGGGATGTCAAGCATTGCCATCCAGACCATCAGCGATTGCTCAGTGCAAACCGAGCCAGACCAGTTCCAGAGAGTTTCCCCGTCCATACATATCACTACTGCAGATCCCAAAGTGGAGATTGTGAAATATATATCTGCTCCAGAGAAGACACGTCGAGGGGAGAGCTTGGCCTGCCAAACAGAGCCAGAAACTCAATCCCATGGCATTGTGGTACCACAGCTGAGTGTTCCTACAACAATAACGCCGTATTCCTCCCATATCCAGACTGGGCCCTTAGACGCTAATATGGCAAGACAACATGGAGCCGCAAAGTTTGAGAAGAAGAAACCTGATCCCCTGGAGATTGGTTATCAGTCTCATCTTCCCACAGACACACTCTCCCAGCTAGTTCACAGACAGCCTCCCAAGTCCCCCCAAGTCCTCTATTCACCAGTGTCTCCTCTCTCGCCTCACAGACTTCTGGAGTCTACATTTGCTTCTAGTGAGAGACTCAACAAAGCTCACGTCACCCCCCAGAAACATTTCACGGCTGAAAGCACCCAACGGCAGCAGATACTTCCCCGTCCAATCAAAAGCATGCAAAGATCCTTGTCAGATCCAAAACCCATCAGCCCCACCTCTGAGGAGTCTGCCAAGGACAGATTCTCTATGTATCATCAACATTTACTGCAAGGTGCCCAGGTAAGAGGTATTCTGTACTATCCTGCATAACATTGCACTGACATTCCGTAGACACGTACATCAAACATACTCCAGCTGTGTCGTAATGCCATGTGCAGATTTCACTGCATTGTCTGAACACGTCTACAATAGCCTGTGCTCCTTCAGGGTCCCCTTTAGATTGTTGTGGTTTGTGCATTTGTTTAGCTCCCTGTGATGATAGAATACGATAGCCAGACATATATATATATATATTGCCTTTCTTTATGCTCGCAGGGTTATTTATTTATTATTGCTTGGGAGTCAGCCGTGCCAATACAGCCAAAGTGGATTTAGAACCTTGACTTTGGGGATACGCCTTGAGGAGCTACCAGTTCCCACAGGAAGATATTTTTTATATAATTTTTTCAGGAACTTATTTCAGCTTTTTGAAGGCCGTGGGAGGAAGGCAGGGTGTTTCAATTTCAGATGGTCAGAGATAGAATAGAAGGAGTCCGTGGCATCCCAGGCGGAGAGTAAAGTGTAATGCTGATTCTATTTTTGCCACCTCCACCAATAACCATATTTGGAGGATTCTCGGGATCTTATGCTGAGAAGGCCATTGGTCTTCCCCGCCTGACCGGCCTCATCCGTTATACAACCAAAATGATCTTATTCTGTATTGTTCAGAAGTGTTCAGCTTTAGGTTGGGGCTATCCTACTCCCAGTACGTTGTGACACCAGTACAGTATATAAGATATAGTTCACAGGTGACAACCTTTTGGCTTCCTCTCAGTAAATAGATTCCTCAGTTACTTAGATTACTCCGCAGCTTTCAAGTCCATTCTTAGTTGTTTCATTAAAGTCCTTGTGCTATAGGTAGAGTCACTACTGATTTTTCATATGTTGTGGAGAATACTTAGCTAATTGTTAATTGTGTCTACCTTGGCAGTCTACACATTTATCTTATTCATTGTAGATTTCAGCTTTCCAGCCAAACAGTTTGACACGCAAAGTGAAGCGGACTCTACCCAGTCCACCTCCTGACGAAGCCCATCTTCCTCTCACCACAAGTCAGGCGCACACCCAAATGTACATGCCGAATATCACACAGAAGATGACAGGAGGAGGGCAAGCATTTCAGCTGCCAAAAGTTGGTTTCATGAAAACCCTTGACCATGACTTGAGGATTGTAGAGCAAGAATCGACAAAACTTCGCAAGCAGCAAGCAGAGCTGGAGGAAGAGGAGAAGGAGATTGATGCTAAGCTGAAATATCTAGAACTTGGTATCACTCAGAGAAAGGAGTCTGTGGTGAAAGATGTGGGTGGTGGAAGAGATGTCTCTTACCTCAGATCTATGGGTGAGAACAGGGAGTACATGTCAGACAGTGAACTCAACAATATTCGCATTTCTGGCTATGACCACAACAGCCTTTTGAATAGGCCAGGCCCTGCCCCTCAATATTCAGAGTTACAGAATTCACAGCAGTTTCAAACATCAACTTCCCCTTATCTATCCAACACTTACCAGTACACTACCGGCCAAACGGTCACCCCAGTCACCACCTCTTTCCAGCAAACCAGGTTTGAGCAACCCCAATATCCTGTATCTAGTAATGGTCCATCTCAAAATAGCTTTCAGACTCAGATATCAAACTATCCCACACAAAGTTCATATCAGACTCACAACATTGCCCCAACAACAAGCTATCAGACAGAGTTAGGCCTCCAAAATCATACAGGTTTCCGACCACCAAATCCTAATTATCAAGCTCAAACTACTTATGCAAATCAAACTCCATTACAAGCTACTATGAACTCAGGTTTTCCACCGCAAACAGACACTCGCAGCACCCACCAAAAGCCAAGGCAGACGTCGCTGGCTGACCTTGAACACAAAGTCCCAACAAATTATGAAGTCATTGCCAACCCCACCGTGGTCATATCCTCGGCAACTCCAGACACAGCCTTGAGCAGCACGACCGCAGCCAGCACTTTTGATCAGTACAAGGCAGGAGATGGAAGGCAAAATGAGAGAGGTAATGGAGCAGAAAGCCCCTCCAACAGTTACACATCGGACTCCCTTTACACGAACCTGGAGCAAAACATCCCCCGTAACTATGTGATGATCGACGATATCAGTGAACTGACTAAAGAAAACCCGCCGGTATCAGAAAGCCAAAAAGTCGAACCCCCTTCTCAGTCTCTTCAGCAGAATAATAATGGCCGTCACACCAAGGAGAAGAACGGTCATATGGAAAGTGATAACTTAAGCAAGCCATGTTGTTATTCTAGAGCAGAGGAAGAGTCGGAAGAGGATGTGTATGACCACCACAGTTCAGATTATCGTGGAAGAAACAACTATCAACGTAGCGGTGACGGCAATGGTCGAGATCCTGTTGGTGGCTCTTACTACTATGTAGATAACGATTCTCGACATGCGTCACGGTTAGATAAACATGGTTCTAGTATGGGAACGCCAAAACACCCCTCCAAAAATCTGGCTCCAGCTGTTGTGTCATCCAAGCGCAGCAAGCACAGAAAGCAGGGAATGGAACAGAAAATTTCTAAATTTTCTCCAATTGAGGAAGCTAAAGATGTAGAATCTGACCTGGCGGCTTCCTACCCAGCGACAACGTCAATGAGCAACAGCAGCAGCGTGTCCTCGAGAGCAAAGAAACTTCAGGACGAGATAACTTATGGCCTAAAGAAAAATGTGTACGAGCAGCAAAAGTATTACGGGGTGTCCGGCAGAGACCTGGTAGAAGAAGACGATAGAATTTATAGTAGTGGAAGCCGATCAAGGTCAGCGTCCAGTTACGGGCTGGAGAAATCAAGCCGGGATTCAGGAAGCAGTAGGAGCAAATCCTACGAAAGAGACTCCTCGGACCGCTATCATAAATCAAGCGCCAAACCTTCTACGCTCACCATGAGTCAGAGTCGGGGCCGAGCCCCAATGCGATCACAGGCTTCGGAGGAAGAAAGTCCTGTCAGCCCGCAGGGAAAGCCGGTGTCTCGATCAGCTGCTGGAATCCCCCAGCCCACGGGGGATACTTGTCCCCAGTTCTGCTCCAGCCACTCACTGCCTGATGTACAAGATCATGTCAAGGAAGTGCCAAGAAACCATACCTACAAACAAGAAGAGAATTACATGATGGACGATTCACACTGCGTTGTGTCGGACAGTGAAGGTAAACACTATCAATGGTGATCTCTCAGCATGCTGGAGTTGAACGCCTCGTTTTATTGTCTGGTGCAGTTCATATCATGATTTGCCTTCTTCCTGATTTTGCATGATGTGCCTTTTCTTATTCATGGTATTTTTATGTCGGCATGGTGCTGTTCAGCAGTTTCGTTTGTGTTTTTTTTGTTTTGTGTCATTGATCGTGGTGCATCCCAATATTTTATCTTGTCAAAGTCAGTCGATGGTTCTTTGGTGTTTTTTTTTTCCACCACTCTTGCATGTTGTCAGCTGCGTTCCTGTTCCGTTTGTTGCATGGCTTCAGTCTATCTACACTTCATCATTGGCCACAACAGCTGACCGTGATTTGTTTTTGGTTCCCAAAGCCTATCATTTGGGTCAGGAGGAAACAGATTGGTTTGATAAACCAAGAGAAGCTCGTTCAGAGCGGTCCAGGTACCATAGCAGCTACGCTTCGATCCAGAAAAGAATCCCGGTCAAACACACTTACCATGATTACGACGAGCCTCCGGATGAGGATATGTGGCAACCTGATGACTATTCTCAGCCTCGCCATTCGTCTTCTAAAGAGCTCAGACATCACGGAGATTCTGGAAGACATTCTTCTTCCCGTCACGTAGACGAACAGCCAAGGCGATCATCTAAGCAACATCCCAGGGACCAAGGGCGTCATGAATCACGATCGCATTCCCAACTATCGTCGTCTTTGAAGAAGTCACAGCAGCCAGATTCAAGATCACATGCCGGGTATCCTCCAAGTTCTTCTGAGTATTCACAGCAGTCAAGGCAATCATCCAGTTATCACCACAGTTCAGAAGCTCAGAAGCCCCAACGGCAGACCCAAATATCTCAGCAGCAAAAGGCTGATTCTCACCACCAGATTCCACCGCAGACTAAACCGCCTCAGTCAGGCCAGCAGCAACAAACAAGACAGCAGCAGTCTCAGCAGCAAGGTTCAAGACAACAGCAGCAGATGGGACCATCACAACAACCTCTTCATCAGCCATCTTATCAGCCGAGCTCCCAACAACCTCCTCATCAGCCGAGCTCACATCAGCCATCTTATCAGCCGAGCTCTCAACAATCTTCCCATCAGCCGAGCTCTCAACAATCTTCCCATCAGCCGAGCTCTCAACAATCTTCCCATCAGCCGAGCTCCCAACAACCTTCCCATCAGCCGAGCTCACATCAGCCATCTTATCAGCCGAGCTCACAACAATCTTCCCATCAGCCGAGCTCACATCAGCCATCTTATCAGCAGAGCTCACAACAACCTTCCCATCAGCCGAGCTCCCAACAACCTTCCCATCAGCCGAGCTCCCAACAACCTTCCCATCAGCCGAGCTCCCAACAACCTTCCCATCAGCCGAGCTCCCAACAATCTTCCCATCAGCCGAGCTCTCAACAATCTTCCCATCAGCCGAGCTCCCAACAATCATCTCATCAACCATCTTCACACCAAACTCAGCCTCAGCATCAACAAGGTTTGTCTCAACCAACAAGAGCACAGGGACAGCAACAGCAGCAATCTGCGGGCCAGGGACTGCCGGCATCTCGACAACAACAGCCGCAGCAGCAGCCTCATCAGCAGCCGCCGCAGCAACAGCCGCCTCAGCAGCAGCCGCCTCAGCAACAGCCACAAGGAAGTCAAGGTCAGACGACCTCAAGAACACAACCGCAGCCGGGGCAAGCAGTAAAACCGACACAACCGACCTTGCAGCCCAGCGCTCTGTCAGCTGTGCCAGTAAGTAAAACAACCAACTTTCAGCACACATACCACCCATCAGAAAAGAAACATCATATCAGTGCTAATGTACAAAGGAAGAGAATTGCAGACGGAGGAAACCATTTGTAAATGAAGAACTCAGGGTCGGGTGTTATAAAAGCCACTTGTGTCACATAGCAGGCATGATATAAGACAAAGGTCACTCTAGAGCCTTGGTTCTCAACTGGTGGGTGGTGACCCAAAAGTGGGTCGCAACCCCATGTCTAGTGGGTCGCCATATGCCTTCCACTTTTCTAGGAGAGAGGCTCATCAGCAGTGTGAGTTCTCGTGCCGAACATCCATTCAGAATATGCTGCCCGGTGCCGAGTATCAGCTTGAGCTGGGGTGGGCTGGGATTATGGCCGTGAGTGAGCTCCATCCATACCTGCGTTGCTTACAGCTCCCTCACGTGTCCTGTAGAGGTGCCTGGACCGGAGTGACGTCACATTCTGGCTCCCGGCACATCTGTAGGGCTCACAAGGGAGCTGTACCAGCACTACACAGATGGATGGAGCTCCAGCACAGCACAGTAGCCCACACTGGACCCCAGGCTGAGGATCCGCTCCGGTTCTGGTAAGGTAGGGAGACCGGGCGGATCTGGAGTGTGCATGTGTGTGTGAGAATGTCTGTGTGTGTCTGGCAGTGTGTTTGAGGGCCTATTCACACTGGTACAGCGCCTTCATCGCACAGTCCTGCGCAGTTAATGAACTGTACCATGCAATCGCCCCTACCTCCGTTCTGGTGTGGGAGGTGCGTTGCGTTGCCATTCATTTGAATGGCATCCCAAATGCATCTCCTACCCCACAGTTCTATCGCCCGCATCAGAACGCGGGGTACCCAGGCCCGGATTCCCCACAAGGCCACCGAGGCCCGGCCTCGGGGCGGCACGTAGCAGAGGGGCGGCAGAGCCGTGGAGTTCCCCGACGCCCGGAACATGTAGCTTCCGTGGGTCGTGACTCAATGACTGAGGACAAATGTGGGTCCTGAGGTTACACAGGTTGAGACCCGCCGCTCTGTAGGACTCAGAGTCAGTAGAATATGGTGCCGGAAGCAGAATATATCTCATGCATCAGTAGGAGAGCCCCACATTCTGTACATTGTCAGTCAATCTTGTAGGCTCAGGCTGTGTCAGTGTCCCACTGGGGAGCTTTTCCTTCACTTCCTGTCCTGGAGATGCAAAAGGTTCGTTAGGGTAAATCTCCCAGAATGAGGGTGAGGGGAATTCCCCTCTTAAGGTGCCCATACACTCCACGATTATCGTACGATTCTCGGCTGGTTAGAACGGTGCTCGGAAGACAAATGCCGAACGGGCCGGTGTGCGCACGCTGCCCGTTCAGCATTGCGGTCATCGGAAGCCCCACCCCTCAGGGGGGCGGGCTTTGCGATGATCGAGAGTGCGATCTGCCTGTCCAAGATAGGCAGATCGTACGTTTTTTTAATCCCTGTACAACCATCGCAAGACTGAAGTCTTGCGATGGTTGTAGAGTGTATGGCCACCTTTAGACTGTTGTCACTGGAACAAGGGTCCTCATTGGAAGACCTGCCATCACCTTGTGTCCTGGCGACGCCTTCAGAATATTGAACATCGGTGATCTCCGGGGTGACTCTCCCCAGGTGTAGGGATCGGGAGCTGAGCATGATTGGTGGGCAGATG